TTCAAAAACAATAAAAGTAATAAGAGATAAGACATATTTGGTACATGCACAATCTATTCTATTATATGTAGATAACCTACTACACACATCCACATGCTTTATTTGAAATATATCAAAAGTGGGTGTTAGAGACAAAGAAGACATTCACGGAATGTTCTCTTCATAAGAAGAAGTGTTTGAAAGATAGTACAACCTACTTCGAGCAAAGTACTGAAAAACAAAATATGCTCTGACAAATTGACTTTAACCAATGATTACTTCACACACAAGAGAGAGAAGACACAAGAATCAAGGCCAAGAGTTCAAACTAACGGATACCTTTTGAAAAAGCCTTTAAATAGAAGATCATTCAAAGGAAGAATCAAAAGGATAGCTTACAACAAAAATATCAATCCTACGAAAAGTATTTAGAAGAGAAGCATATAGATGCTCAAGCAAAAAGAGAATATCTGAGAAGAGAAAAAGAGAAAAGTCAAACAATTCTCTCAAGCTTCATTGTAATATTTTGCTTACTTTTTTAAGAAAAGAGAAAAGAGAGAAACACCCACTGAGTGTATAGATTGTATTGTATCGAACACGTATCCTCATTGCGAGAGTAATTATCTAAACGACTTGTAAGCAATCAAGTGATTGCAATTCTAAAGAGAATTAAAATACTTGTTGTGAAACTTTAACGAGTTAAAGAAATCTAGGCAGCGTATCAGAGGATACTAGGATTGTCTATTACCAGGAGTGGTTTGAACAACTAGTCTAGGGTAACGGAAAGTTATTCGTTGACTAGGAATACCAGCAGTCATGAAGAATTATGCACAACCAAGAGCGGGTCAAACTCAACTAGGTAGCATATCAGGAGATAATAGGAGTGTCTAGGGATACCAGGAGAGGTGAGAATACTTAGTTATAGTCTTATCAAACATTATAGTCGAACCCTCTTTGGATAGAGGAGACTGAAATTACCTTTGTTTGAGTGAACCAGTATAAAAGTATATGTGCATTTATTGTTTAATTTTGTCTAAACGCTTCTCTTATTAAACATGCAGCATTTTAGTTTTAAATACAAGGGCTTTCCATACTAAATGATTATTCATTAAAAAGAAAGCTCTTACAAACACTGTAGTGAATATCCTATATAGCACAAAGAAAATAATTCATTGATTAAAATCATTTACAGAGTTGCCCGTTAAACAACTACTTGAAAAATCTTGTGCTCGACGAAAGTGCTATATAAGAACGATTGCGAAAAGCTTTTCTATTAACATTATTCAACACCCCCCGCCTTTAGTGTTTTTCAAGTACTTGACACTGAACATTATGTCAGATCAAGACACGGTGATATACAAAAGTAAACCTATCATTTGACAATAAGTAGTGTTGTTTGTGAGATCCAGAAATATTTACGATAAATATATTTTCTTCTTTCTCTAGTAGTGTACTAATGTGTTTAAGATGTGATTCTATTATTTTATTAAATTACCATGGTATCTAAATTTTTTTATACACTCGAAAATACCCATCCAATACAACCTATGATTTATAGAGTAGAAATATTTTTTTTTTTGGTTTTGGTTAATGAAAATCGAAACTTATCCTTTCTCTCCTACATGATGTGAAATTTTCATCCTCTTCCCCACATATATAGTCATTTTCTCTTGTCCATTGTAGCTTCTTTTATTTCTTCATCTTTAAAGTGTTTTGTCCTTTTTTCTACACCATTGCATTATTTCCTCCTTTTCCCCACACATATAGTGTATTGTCTTTCATATCTTGACTTTTTTTATTCATATCAAGACTTTCCTTATGTAAACACAAATGAAATAAAAATTTCATAGGTATTTCAAGTGGAACTGCGGAAAACATTAACTTAGATTAAGGTAGGCTTGTCTCTTTGTTTTAGAAACCTTTCAACACTAAGGCTGCTGATTTTCAAGAATAAAAATGTTGGTTCTTTACCTTAATAGAGAGAAAACCAAAAATGAAATAATAAGGAAAAACAAAAGAGAGAGAATTGATCTGAGATAGGAAGAAGTAAGCAAAAAGGTTGGACAAACTCTGTAGATCTAGAATTACCTTAGATCATGTAGAAGAGTTGGAACTGCTAATTTCTCGTAAAGGAGAACCAAGGAATCTAGGTATGGGGAACTAATCCTTTTATACATGATAATTGTACATTATATGCATGAATATAAGTTGTGAATATGTTGATTTTTTTCTAACGGTAGTTATGTATCCACTTGTGTAAATTTTAGCTTTCTTGTCTATGATTTATTTATTTTCGAGCTACTTTGGTAAAACCTCTCTTTTCACTTTTGTTTACCGTTAGATTTAGCTAAAACTTTGATATATGAGTCCTAAGACCTATTGCTTCACTTTGATCATTGAGATAATTAGTTAGAGGTTTGTACTTAGAGAAATAAATCATGCATGTTTGAATAAATTAAATACCACTTTATTTCTACTACTGAGTTCTCTTAGTAAAACCTAAATTCTCACCTATTTTATTGTTAGATCAACCTTAAATTTGGATATATGATTCCTATGATATATTACTACACTTTGACCGATCAGATTTTTAATTTGAAAAACTATGTTTAAAGTAATTAATTTCGCAATTTTGGGAAACCTGATGAACATTGTATTTTTATATATTCTTAAGTTACCTTGGTAAAAACTTTAATTTTCACTTCATTTACCATTAGATTGACCTTAACATTTGATATGTAGTTCATAAGGCATATTGATTCATCTTGATCGTTTGAATTTTTAATTAGATGTCTATGCTTAGAGGAATTCATATCGCATTTTGAGTAGAGTTGAAAATCACTCAAATTTTGTGCTTAAGTTACTTTAGTAAAATTTTGCTTTCTACCTAGTTAACCGTTACACTAATGATAACACTCTAGATTTACATATTTCTCCTTGTTAAAAATTATTTCTTAGATTTCTTTAGTTTTTAATTTCTTAGAATTAGGCTAGTTTTATGTTTTTCTCTTAATTCTTTAGTTTTATAAAATTCTAGTTAAAAATAGGTTTTTAGATGTAATTTTTAGATTTTGTTAATTAGTAGGAAAATAATAATTTTTTAGAAAATCTTTAATAAAAATCTTTCTTTTTAATTGTTAGATTTTTTTTTCTTTTCTTTAATTTGGTATTAATTTTTTTTCCTTTGATGCAAATATGAAAAAGAGTGGGCTGCTGCCACTACATTGGGCTGTTGAAATTGGACAGATTTAATTAGGCTGATGTCAACATTGGACCTCTGATTGCAACTCTGGTGGGCCGCTGTTACTGATACATTAAGAATTTGGCTGCTGCATTTTGGGAATGAGCTGCTGGATTAAATTTGGGCCGCTATTTTGGGCCACTGATTTAACATTAAGCTGCTGCAAGTGAAATTGACGGCAGCGCTGACCTGCTACAATGGTGCTACAATTGGAAGACTGCTGCTGATTGGATAATTGGGCTGCCAATGCTGGTATGGGCTTAAGTGAAACGGTGAGTTTCAATGGAGGCAGCTTTTGGGGGTCATTGCAGAGCAGCTCATTTGAGAAAATAACATTCTCTCAAGAACATTCATTTAGAAGAGAGTAGAACCTTCGAGCTAGGGTAGAAGAAGAAGCTTGCGACTCTGACCGGACCTGACCGAAGAAGGTGATCGGAGGGCTGTGGAGCGAAATGAAGGCTAGCCGTCTGATCAGAGAGCTCGAAGCGTCACAACAAGGTTCCCCTCTCCTATTTTCTTTTTCCCCTTTCTCTTTTCGTTCTCCAACCCTATATAAAGGGGTTTTTCTGCATGTAAAATATATATCTGGAGAACACTTCTTCATACACTTTTGATATACACTTCTTCAAATTCTTCTCCATGATCACTTCGAATATACATGATTTTTAAATTATTTTCGATTTCTATCCTTTTAAAGAGTTTGTCAAAGGCATCATACGCTTCATCCTTGTGATTCAGAAATAGGACCCATGTCTACCTAGAGAAATCGTCCACTACTATTAGTTCATAGTGTTTACCACTCATGGACACAGTTCTTGTAGGTCCAAATAAATCTATATGAAGCAGCTCTATAGGTCTTTTTGTTGAAACAATATTTTTAGTTTTAAAAGATTATTTGACATGTTTGTCTTTCATGTAAACACTACATAATTTTGTAACTATCACTTTTTAAAAAAGATTATATTTAATAGTTGTTTATATGAACTAAATAATTACCATAATTAATCTGTATAATTATCTTAATAACATGTCTTAACTCTAAACCTTCTTAAAGGTGATGATTTCAATCATAATAGGATGAAATGATATCAAACGTTCGAGATGATCTTGGAATGTAATATAGCCGCTATGCTTTCAGTCACACGTGAAGCGCTAATCTTAACCATATATATCATACTATACACAAACTTTAAATTTGCAAGATTTTCATGTAGAAAATTAAATTTATTAAATGAAATGAAATTGTCATATGTTTTAAAATGTTAATATTGCATGTAAGAGATATATAAATTTGTAGAACTCATGAAATTAATAAAATACTTATATTAATATCTTTGTATTGAAATTATTTTTTATATACAAGACTTTAAGTCTATATATATGTAATTTATAAGATATTCTAATTTAAGATAAAGCATCTATTCAGGGATATATATAAATAAGTTTTTTGTAAAGAAATTTAGAAGAAATAAATAAATAAATAAAGTTCTTTCATATATGTATTTTCTAAATTCTTATATATAACACTAACTTTACCTTATCAAAAATATTTTTTTCTCTTGTAAAATTGATTATTCTAAGTTTCGTTCAAACGTACCTAAACTTCCATGCATGCCCTTCGTGTGTAACTTGTGTTTTATTAATAAAAGTTGAAAGACGTATTAAGTTGGTTTTTCCTAACGTAATTGGTTAGTTGTTGGGACCCTTCGAACAGAATTAGAATTTCATGGGACTGGGCATATTCCTGCGGAATATTTGCTCAGAGCTTCTTTTTTTTGCTAGCGAGTGAGGTATATTATTTGGTATCAAACATATTCTCTTTGTCATTTATCTTTCCCCTTTCTTCTCTATTCAAACTCCTCATCCACGTCTCAGAAAAACCAACCCAGCTACCAGGTACGATTTCTTCACCATTCTTGATGTTGGACACAAGTTACATTCATTATAATGCAAATTTCTATTCATACGATACGAGGAATAAATGTTTTTTCTTTTCCAGTTTTTGTATTTGAAATGCAGAGGCCGTATTACCGTTTATTTTCTTTTTATCATCTATTATTCAACACGTATGTTAGTTTAGGAAAACTAAAGGATGTGAAATATTTTAATTCAGGCTCAATCTTCTCCATGGATGGGGAAGTTGATTTCACCGTGGACTAGAAGTTATAGAAAGTTGAACATTTTTTCATGAATGGGAAAACTTGCTTCGCTGTTGATAGAAGGTTATTTTCCATCTTTAACAATTATAGGTATTAGGAAAGTTATGATGTAGGTATTGTTGTTAAACACCTTATCTTCACTTGTTGTGAGGACGATTTATTGAGTGTAATTTATACTGTGAAAATAAATTTATTGGTAATCCATGTTCCATTCTCTTAGTATACAAAATTTAGAGATCCGCTAGTAAAGAAAAAAAGTGGTCTGCTTTGGAATTCCAAATTATATGTTGGAATAGAATTAAATAAAATAGTTTTTGAAAAACAGAAAAATTATAGGTTTAATAGGTTCGGAGGTCCTTATATTTGTGGGTTCGTTTCAATTGGATCCTCCAATTTTGAAAGTGATCAATTTGGTCCCTAATTTAACAAAATTGAGTCAATAATACCATTTCCGTTAAATGTAATGGACGACGTTAACTTTTTAAACATGTAGCATGTTGAGGCATCCTTTTATTTGCAGGTTGCACAGTTTTATTTGAAGGATGCTTCAACATACCACATGTTTAAAACGTTAATGCCGTCCATTGTATTTAACGGAAAGGGTATTATTGACTCAATTTTGTTAAATTAGGGACCAAATTGATCACTTTCAAAATTGGAGGACCCAATTGAAACGAACCCACAAATATAGGGACCTCCGAACCTATTAAACCAAAATTCTAAGCCTGTTTTTATTAGAAATTTGAGAATTATTCTTCTACTTATAAAACAATTTAAAAAATTTACCTGCCGGATGAACTGGTCATCATCACCTAAAATTAAAGCAATCAAAATATGTATAAAACTTATAAACATAACTTCTTTTTATAATACCTACTCTAGTTTTTGGGTTATCATTTTTATATTTTTCCTTGTCGTTACCTTAAATGTTGACGTGACATTGTGTAGATTTTTGTTACATGAATTATTAATTTCATGTAACTTTTGTAATGAACCATGCTTTTAGTTCCTTGCTTTTTCAAAAATTTACTCTTGGTCTTTTGATTTTCTTTATTAGTTTTGGTCTCTTAATTTAATCAATCTTAGTCATCTTTTGTCAGTCATGTGTTATTAAATACTGCTGGAAGAATTAGGTCTCTTTTAAAGCTTTGTACTTCTTTATATAATTCAACTACAATTGAATGAGCCACAGTAGTCTAGAAATATTAGTGTTAGATTTTGATGATTGTAACATCTAGTGCGTTTCGGTGAAGATAAAATACACATAAACAAGTAGTAATTAGCTAAATAAATTATAGACTTGCTTGAATAGAGTGATCAAGTCAAATGGTAGAAACCCGAAGTTATCTGAATAGATTTTAAACAAAAACAAAAAATTGAGATACCAACCAAAAAGTTATAAAAGGCGACATGTTCAGTAAAGAGACAACATTATTGGGATCATTGCTATTATTTTTTAACATAAAATGGTTATAAGCTTGTTAACTCCAATCAATCTTTTTAAGATTGAATTAGCTTCGAATGAATTTGTTAAAAAGTGAAATTTAAATCTAACTTAAATTATAAAACACACTTAAAACTAAATATTAATTGATTGTCAAATAACAAGTAAAATAATACATTCAATTAACACAAATCTTACTAAAATACACTCTATATTTTAAGTGTAATACAATATTATAAAATAAATTTAAACCTAACTCAATTTCATAAAACTAATTTTTAAGACGAAATTTACACTTATATATCTCTAAACTAATCTTATCTTATCTCTATGAAACTTCCAATAGTACAACATAACCCAATAGGTTTTAATCCTATTATTATCACAATATCAAGAAATGGAAGTGCCACTGTACACAATTAATTAACTTGAGTGCACATAAATCACTATTCTAAAGATGGAAAACAACTGACAACATCAATCACACTTGGTTGAATCAAATAATTTTTCTTACTAAAATATAATTTGTTGCTAGAATGTTTACAAGCATTATCAATGTTGCTAGAGGGAAACAAGATCAAAGTTAAGGGTGTTAGTTTGAAAGAAAAAAAAAGGAATTAGAAGAGACAGAGAAAGCAAAATAGAAATGAATAAGAAAAAAATATTAATAAAATCCACCTAGTTTTTAATTCTCCTTCCCTGTTAATCACTGTACCACCAAACGTACCAATTAAAATTATCCTACAGATTTTCTCTATCCTGAATTCAACCAAACATTCTATAAAAAGCAAAAATAAAGGACATGGATGTTGTGAACAACTATGAAAATCAATTGAGGTTTGCTAAGAGGCCCAAGAGTTAGACAATCCCGTGATTCGTTTAAATCATGTGGTAAAAGAATGCATATCATCTTACTACTTTTTCGTGTGATTTGGTTTCTATAGGTTTTATTTTAATATATTAAGCAAAAACTGATACGGAGCAGAATTTGCGGGGTTAGATTCGATCAATTATATTACACTAGAGTGTACAAAAAGGAAAGTGGATGTCCATCCCCTTTATTGGCTCTGGGAAGCACATGGAATTCATCTTGCTAATAAAGGGATATTTTAGTGCCATGCCTCAAATTGCAGAATTCCATGATTCTCGTTTGTGCTTTCTGGCTCTTTGAAATTCAGTTTGCTGAAAGCATGAGACTCAGTTTGCTGTGATCTCTCTGGCTTCAGGATATATCAAATTATACAAATCACACCTGCAACGAGTAGGAGATAAGGATTCGAGCTTCAAATCTTTATAAGTAATCAAATCAATTACCATAATGCAGAAAAGAAAATAGTCATAGTCAGGTACCCAATAACAAGAGTCATTGACTTTCAGTATATAAGGTGGAACCTCCAACTCGAACTGGTTTTAATCGTCTTAGAAGCTTTCTTCCATATTCAAATGCTAACATAAGGAGACCAAAGAAGTACAATAGGAAGATATGCAGTTTTTCTAACACGTGGCATTTAAGGGAGTCATTCCTTCCAGCCTGATTGTTTGTTATAATCAACACCCTTTTCTCTTTCCACCCTGTACAAGATCAGTATAAAGTATATCTTATTAGGAAAAATAAAGTGTGCACCTAAAGATTGTCTTGAGCGACACATCTTCTCCAATATCATACATATAGATTATTGCAACTTGAGCGCCGTAAGCTTAAATTTATAAAAATATATTGTGACAGAACCAACATAAAAAAAAAGTGAGGAAATTGAAATTTTATTGAATGAATAATAGGGAAAATCTCCCAATGAAAATGATACATTGCTCCAGAGGTTTGAGAGGTCTTGATTCACTCCTCACAATTTTCAAATTCTCCCAAGTCCCAGGTTTAAAGATTATACAGTTTTTCCCGTTTCATAGCGAGTTGGTGACTTACATTTAACAGAAAGGCTACCCTTAACTGGGCCAACCAACTGCTACCCATACCAACCCCTTCTAATATACACTTTCTTAATCACAGGTCTGCAATGCAGTTAGTGTAATATATGTATTGTACTTCAAATAACGAAGCATATGATAGCACACCACGTCTTTACTAATTGGGAGCCAGTGACAGACCTGAAAAGCCTTTGGCCTAGTGGGAGGAAACCTTTCGGTCAACATGCCCAGTAAATCTTTTTGCATTTTCAAATAATGATACTCCTTAGTTTTTTCACAGAAAGCAACACCATTTTTCTTTTGCTGTGAATGACAGCTAGCTCATCTCTAAGAAACTCACCTGTAAACACAACTACGACTGGGTATGCACTGATGAAACATGTCTCTGTTCTTTATGAAGACCTGGGGCCGTTGGATAATAATTAAATTATCTAACCATATACGAAACCAAATATCAGTTAACACTTGCAAATGAAATTGGGTTTCGGTAGTTGCTAGTGAGAATGGAGAAGTAGGGTGAAGTCCAAAACAGGAAACTAAGATGTGGCTTGTAAAGTTAGATTTTTACCTAGGGATCTTGTTTTAGGGCCAACCTTCTAAGGTTCTGGGATCAAAAATGGAAAATCATGTATGATAGTGGTAAATTTTGAGTGGGAACACTCCCCTTACCCACGAACGTGGGTCTGTCTCTGCTTGGAGCTTAGACATTATTACCTCACACCGACAACCCACCAAGCTACAGAAAACAGTCATGGCATGATAGTGAGAGCTCATACTAAATTTCCAAGTGCAACATAATCTATAACCTAGAATACTTACAAGACTGTTTCTTTGGCAAATTAGTCCAATCATGTGGGTTCATATTCACTTCTGATGCTTTGATCAAGTCAAATAGTGCTTGATTAACCTGAATTAGAAAAGCTTTAGTCCATTTCCAATGCAACTTTAGAGGCATAGTACAGTGCAAATTGCCAGTATGTTATTAACTGAAATCATGAAGAATATAATATATCATATTAGAAGGAAATATACCTCTTCAGGCCGCTCATGACTTACTAGATGACCTCCATGAAGATCTACCATTCTAGCCACTGGATAAAGCCTCTGAGCAAGTCTTTTTGCATAATATATCTGAGCAATTATGTCATGCCTGAACGTGAAGAAAATATTTCCATGATTGGATAAAACTACAAAAATCAGAAGTTGAGTAACTGTACAGTGTTTCAAATTTCAAGCACAATTTCTGTGTCTGATAATCTGTTTATGTATGCCTGGGGTCAATTCTCATTTATATTATGAAACTGACATTCCTATGAAGCAGAATTACATAAATGTTTACTAAAACAGTACAAACCTGCCATGGATGATTGAAACAAGAAAACTGGCAGATTTGATCACCTCAATCTCATCATCAGTCATTTTATGTGTCCAACATGCATTGAGTTGACCATCAAAACCATAGTTAGATTGCATCCCAGTTGCAGATATACCTTTAACATATTGCTGAAAGAGACGGTGGTCGTGAATTAGGAAAATATTTCAAATATTTACGAAGAACAGAATAATGATTAGGTATCATGTGTTTCTGGGTTGAGAGGGAAATGTAAGACAAGGGAATAACTAAAATGTCACTTTCTTACCCTTATAAGGTTCAAAATAATGAAAGGTAAATGAAATGAAGGGTTCACTAATGAAAGCCCATAAGTCATTATAATGTGTACTTGTAAAGTTAACCTTGAAAAATGAACTACACATTACAGTATTAAAATTCTACTCGAATATCATTTAGAAAGAAAGGGGAAGAATGAAAACAAGATTTCAGCTGAGTGATGTAGAGAGTTACGGATTGATGAATTCCTTAATAAAACACAATGTATGTGGATAATGATAAATGTACATATGTTGAAACGTTAACTAGGTAAAATGTGTACTAAAGTCGGGTCAATTTTTATAGATTGAATAATTAAAGAACTTAAAGTTATATATATTCAACTTCAGCCAATTTACCGAAAGATATAGATTCACATGGATATCAAAATGTTTGAAATTATTAATTTCTCCTCCAAAAATTCGCAAATTGAGAATAATTGGAAAGTGAATGCCAAACAATTAAGAATGGTTAAATGAAAATCCCTCGTTACTCGTTTCTCTTCCTTCTATAAGTCTTCTAGTAATCTTATGAGGAACATGGGGCCTATTACTTTAGAACAAATGAGAACAAGGGAAAACAAAGCCAACTAACCCCCAAGTCAGTCAGTTAGACTGTTACAGTATACAGATAGCAATGTTATTATTATAGTATAGGGTTTTGGTAACTCATTTTGGGGATAGTTCCGAGACTCTCAAATTCTCAATAATCAATTCAAATTCACAATTCACTGTTTCTTTCTATTCCCACTCTTAACCTCCACTCTATGTGTTGTGGTGCAAATTCTTTTGATTCTTGGTACTAGTTGTATCAACTGGTATAAGTAAGAAAAGCAGATATCAAAAGGATTAGGAGGCTTGAAGAACAACAACTCAGAGATCAGAGCTGACAAAGCAAAGTCAGAAGCAGAGTAGGTTAGCCTGGAGTTCAAAGATCATTGGAAAAGATTTTAGGTACCTTCATTTAGCGGGCAGAAAGATATGTATGGTTGGGCCCACATATTGGAGAGATACTTCCAAATTAGAGGAGCATGAAGAAGAATTGTTTTCTTTGGAAGGTAAGGCACCAAGTTGGTTCCATTCGTGGATGCCTAGAAACCAAAAGATCAATTTAGGAGGTTTTCAATAATGCCACTGTAGACAAGTTTCAACCAGCTGTTGCAAAGTCCCCTCTTGCAGTGCTGTTGGGGCTGAAACAGGATGATACGACAGCTGATTTCGTAGACTAGTTTGTAAAGTGTGCTGGGATTATACATGGTATTGAACAAGATTATTGTCCTCAAGGAAGATGTTAGTGCAGAAGTTCAATTATATGAGCCAAGATTAGCTCGATCAATAACTAAAGCAATTATTATAGAAGAAAAGAACAGGGCAGTGATAAAAGTGATGGGAAATAGTGGGACAAGGGTAGCCAATTCTTATAGGAGCTTTGGAGGGACACAAATAAATAGTGTTGGCAACACGAACAAATGTTTTACCAGGCAAGGGGACACATATGAAGGAAGTGCATGTATTGCATACGGAGCCATAGCTGTAAATAATGAAGGGTTTGGAGCAATGTTCGCAACAAGGAGAATATATAAGGTGGTCAAATGCATAACTGCTAGTGAAGATGAATAAAGGAGAATGTTTTAGATGCAACGTGAAGTTTAGTCAAGATCATATGTGCAAAAACAAGCAGTTAGAGTCATGGTATTACATGAGGAAAAAGAAGAAGTGGGTGCGGAAGATTGTGATGGTCCATGAGAAGACAAGGAATTTCAACTATCATTACATAGTATTGGTTGATTCACATCAAGAAGGTCGCTTAAACTATGGGGAGTAGTGACTGCAACAAGGGTAATAATGCTAATAGATTGTGGAGAACTGCAAAACTTTATTTCACATTAATTATTAAAAGAGTTTGATTTTTGGGTGCTGAAAGGATTAGTGACAAGACACGTACTAGAGGTGTCAGTGAAAATGGCTTGATGCCTTTGTACATTTTTATTTGTTCTATAAATAATGATAGGAGAATTTACAGATAATTACTATTCATAAATACAAATATCCTATTGCTTGATTTGTCTAGCCTATTTTAGGAATATTATTATATATAATTTGGGAGAACAAAATCAATTCATGATTTGTCTAGGCTATTCTTAGGAAAAAGAATTAATATAGTTAAGGAGACAAATCATTCCTGATTCCCACCTCCCCTCAAGTTGATGCTCAATTGATGTGACTGGTCAAGGAGCATTCATTTGCTAACAGGAAACAAATGGTGTAGGCAAGGAAAGCCTTGGTAGGAATATCTGCAACCTGAATTTGAGTATTGATGTGAGGGATTGATATAACAGTCTTCATAAGCTTCACACATAGGGTGATGATCTACTCCAACTGAAAACACTTGATTATATGCTCCTGGTTGTTAATCCACTGCAAATAATCTCATTTGTTGAGCAGTTTTGAAAGAGCACAAATCAGAACTGCAAGTGCACATAGAAATCGCAAGTGAGAACAACAACTGCAACTCTAGCAACAGTAGCACCCACAAGAACACAATGCGAATGTGAATCATGAACAAGAACAAAATCACGAGCCTAATAAAAAATGTGCGTGTGGACAGATTGTGCAAGTGGTACAAGGAGAAGTGAGAGTTGAAGCTGTCTAGAAGGATCTTTTGGAGAGAAATGAGGTGTTAAGACAGCTAAAATACCATTTGCTTCGAGCTTAGGACAGGATGAGGACTCAAGCCAATAAGCATCGAAAGGAAAGACATGTTGCTGTGGGTGATCTTGTGTTTTTAAAATTGAAACTGAATAGGCAACAATCTGTCATGAACAGGGTCAGTCCGAAATTGAGTGCTAGATATTATGGCCCTTTTGAGATTGTGGAGAAAATTGGGGAAGTGACATAGTGGCTGAAATTGCAACCAAATTCAAAGATTCATTCTGTTTTTCATGTGTCATTATTAAAGAGAGAGTCATGGGAAAATACAAGGTTGAGGAGGATCTTCCTACTGGGTTGGAGGATGACAAGTTGGAATTACTAATTCCTAAGGGGATCTTGGCTACTCAGAACAACACAAAGAGGGGGAAATAAAGAAGCAAGTGCTGGTGCATTGGATGGGGCAAAATGTTGATGAAGCTACTTGGGAGGGTGAAGTGATAACTCGAAGCCAGTTTCCAGAATTTAGCCTTGAGGACAAGGCTCTATTTGAAGAAGGGGATATTGATACAAACCCTAAAACTATTGGGCTGAGCTCTTGATCCAAGAAGAGAAGGGTAAGAATAGGTGGGGCAGAGTATATTAGAGGAAAAAGACTAGGAAGGGTGACGTGGCACACTAGGGAGGAATAGGTTGGTTAGAAGAGAGAGAAAGGGGTATTGGTTGTTTAAAAGAATCATTTGGGAGGCATTTATTTTGATGCTTAGTTGGAGAGGGAGCCATTTTCAGTTTCTCTTAGGAGCTTTGCTCTGGGGAGTGGGATAGTTGTATCCTTCTGATTTCTTGTTTAGCAATATTAAAGAATCAAATATATTCCACTTGAGTCTTCATTTACTCTTTTCTGCATTTTTAAATTGTGTCAAGAACATTGAAGGGTGAGATAGACCTTGCAAGAGGGGTTGTGATAAGTACCAAGCACATGGGTCTATCCTTCCAACTAAATTCAAGTGTCAACTACCTTGTCTCCTTTGGCTCTGATAACTGAGTCTACCCTCTCAATTTCCCTCCAAAAAGGTATATGTTCTACAAGTAATCTCTCTCCACATTATATTACTTTAAGTTATTGTTAAGAAGTGAACTTTAAGCCTAACTCAACCCCACAAAACCGGCTTGTAAGGTGAGGTTTGCACCTCACTTAGCTCTAGTCGATGTGGGACTTCCAACACCCCCCCTCACGCCGAGGTATATACATCTCGAGCGTGGGACTAGACATTAATGGGTGGTCCGATAGCGGGTGGAACAATATGTCCAACAAACAACAAATATTGCTAGGATAGGCTCTAACCTAACTCTGATACCATGCTAAGAAGTGGACTTTAAGCCTTACTCAACCCCACAAAACCGACTTATAAATAAGGTTTGCACCCACTTATATACTGTGAATTGACTTTATCTTTAGTCGATGTTGGACTTCCAACACAGTTATCATGGACTGTCTTCACCTGTTTATACCTTCCTTTTGTCTATTTCTTCTGTGACCATGCCTAAATTTGTTATTGATGCATTAGCCCATTAATGAAATTATAAAGAAAAATGGTGTTTTTGAGTGATCAACAAGAGAAGGCTTTAACTGCTTTGAAAGAAAAGTTTACTAATGCTCTTGTTCTTGCTTTAACTAATTTTGTTAAATCCTTTGAGTTTGAATGTGATCCATCTCAAGTAGGCACAAGGTTGTGTTGATTCAAGAGGGGCATTTCATTGATTATTTTTGTGATAAATTGAATGGAGGTCTTATTAACTATTTTGTATACAATAAGGAATTGTATGCTTTAAGTAGAGTTTTGCGAACTTCACATTATTATCTCTTGTCCAAAGAACTTGTTATTCATGGTGATTTTTGAAATATTTGAAAGGAAAAGGACACTTGAACCAGAGGCAAGTGGGTGGAATTTCTTGAATAATTTCCATATGTTATTAGACATAAGAAAGGTAAGAATAATGTAATTTTTTATGTAGTCTCTTGCAGCCATGCATTATTGTCTAACCTTGAAACTAAGTTTCTTGGTTTTGAGTGCACTAATGAATTGTGCGAGCATGATACTGACTTTTCTTATGAATATCAAACATGTTCTAATACTCCATCTTATGGGCAGTTTATACCATGGTAGGTAGTTGTTATGGGGTAAGAGACTTTGTGTACCTAATGGTTCAGTTAGGGACTTGCTTATTAGAGAGGCACAC